TATGAAATGGGGTACACAGTTTATTTTATATGCAGGAAATCCATTTGTGCTGCTGTCTTTGTATTCAATTTAGAATCTGTTCTGTGTTGACTAAGAACGGTAATTACAAACGTAATTCACAATTAGTAGTCACATTTTTGTTTGAAAATACGGTCGCGTGTCGGTCATCAGGTGTTAAATGCAAATTCGCACAGGGTGATTCAAAAAATGCGGTAGAATTTTGCTCCCAGTCCACCCAGCCTAAAATGGGTACAATAAGAATAAGAAGAAACTCAACAGGGTAGCGTTGACAGCAGGAGTCTACCAATCATCAGTAGAAGTAATCTCTTATCGACAAATGTTTTGGCCGACGAGCTCCTAGACATTTTCAGAGTGGGCCCACCTGAGTTCGTGAGGCTCAGGATTGGTTACTCCTGCTGCACGTATTACCGGATGTTTCGGACAGGGACAAGACGAATTGGTGACTTTGCAAAAGGTACTGTGAGATATGAAGACGTCTCGGTAGAATAATTAAAGCAGTCTGTCTACCTGGACGACCAAGTGACAAGCCAACGTTTGGTTTACCGGACACATGTTGGTCTTTGTTGACAGGTGCTAGAGGGGCACCGGCAGACAATTTAGACATGATATACTTTAAGGAATAAGATAATTTTTTTTTCTACTAGACACCCGGACCAGCTCACCGAAGCCAATCCCCCACGACGCTCTGTTGTGTCCAGAGCCAGCTCGAGGCCCTCTTAGCAAACTCACCCAATTGTTTTAGTGTTCGTTTGCGTTCATTTTCTCGCAAGCCTAGTTGTTTAATCCCATTGTAAAGGGAAGTGGAAACGAGACCTCTTGCGCCTACCTCGACGGCGAAGATTTTTAATGTGTACGCTTCGTCTTTCCTCAGACTAGCCGCTAAATCACAGTACTTCTCGAGGTTGTACATATGGCTTTCGTAAATTTGCGACTCACGGCATGGTCAGTTCAATCAGAATGAGCTGACATTTCTCCGCAGAGTGGAGAACTATGTCGGGTCGCAGGCCAGTCTTCCGGATTAACTCAGGATACTTTTCATGTGCAGGCAGGACAACCGCCAGTAACCAGTCGCTCGCACAGTCAAGCATCGATAAAAACTTTGTTGAATTTACCTTTATAAACTTAAGGAAGCGCACGGGGACGACGGTAGGACTAGCCCTCGCATTGGCCCTCGTCCTAGCTTGGTCCACAACAGCCGCTAACTCTTTCAGCACCTTGTTGTGGCGCCAAGTAACTTGCCTTGACCTAGGACTTTCCTGCACGCGGACAGTACATGCTCAAGAGCCTGTTTATCTTTGCATAGCGGGCATGTCAGGTCGTTAGCCGCACTCCACTTTGTCATGTTGACACCGGATGTTAATACATCGTAGGCAGACCGAACGATAAAACTCAGTCGCAGCCAGGCCACTCGCCAGATCTCACCCCATGTGAGTACTCGTGCCAAAGCGCTCTCTAAGCTGATCTACTGACCTTGCTGCGACTGTTGGCCTGCTTTCTGCACCCTCATCTCGTTTTAGTTTTCTCTGATTTGCTGTATTACCATGCCTCGGCGCTCTTTGGCTGTGGCTTTGGATCACCAACTGACTATCCCGTGCCCTAGGCCTCGATGGTCGGTTCGAGTGAAACCCATGACCTCCCTTAATTTTAGTGCATTCTGAGCAGATTCGATCGCATCTAGGACCTTCCACTTCATGCCTGTCTTTGAAGCGGGCTGGACAGCGGTGACACTTGGGTCTGAAGACTCACGCATGGCGAGTCTTACTTTGCCGACTTTAAACTCTTCGGTTTTTTATTTGAACTAGAGTACTAGCTTAGCCTGTTTACACTACAGAGACACACCAGTCAGACAAGGCGGTGCTCCCAACCATTTCCTCATGGCTGTGTTGATATTGCGATCTATCATCTTCACTGCAGTCATCGTCACTTCGTAGATGAGCAGCGGCTGGACGATCTTTAGAATCAACATACATGGGAGACTTCTGCGGTTTGAATTGCATACCGCTCCATTAGACCACCTCAGCCAATCTTTTCAGAATCGTTTGAGCAGATTCCTCACTTCCCGTGATTATAGTTGTGTCATCCATAAATAACGTAGTGGCGGCATCCAGTGGTCCCCAATCTGAAGGCCCTGTCCGAAGCAGGCCGCCCCGTCTAACATGACCTGCATAGACATAACGATCAGTTTTAGCGAGATCGTACACCGCATAGCTATCCTAACTTGGAGCTCAGTCAATCTCGTAGTAAACGTCGAGGTAGAGAAGCGCAAAGCGAACTTAGAGAAATATTGCTCGATGAATTCGCTGATCTGTGTCAGTACGTGAAACATGCGAAGGGCCTGCCACAGTAGCTTATGGGGAACAGCCATATTACGTGCAACTGGGTTCTCTCATGCTTGGCCCTCTGGATAGACTACCATATCATGGTCGCGTGTTTAAGGCACACAGGGACGCCCAGGATTCCACCTTTCTGAACACTCATATCGATGCACTTGTTCGCCATCATTTACTGTGTGAGCCCACGAGCCATAACCGAGAAGATTTTTTTGCCCTAAACATTTAACATCAAGATAGGCCTGAATTGGTAAAGACTATTCGAGTCTTGCTCTTTGGGAATATAGACCCCGTTGGCCCGTTGCCACTCCGGACATTTGTGCTTTCGGCTTCCCGCTAAACCTCAATAAGCGGTGAAGCATTCGTAGGACTTTCGGACAACGCTTGTACAGGACGTACGGAACAACATTCGGACTTGGGGCGGACATGCCGCTAGCTCTCCTCACAACTTCTTCGACCTCAAACCAAGAGGGAGGTATCACTTTAAATGATACTTTCGGCAACTCAGACTGCCTGGGGCCGCTAAGGTTCTCTGGATTGTCATCAAGAGGCTCATTCCTGTTCTTGTCAGAGTACATTTTGCGTAAAAATGACTCAAGCTCCTCTTTACTAGCAACCAGAGTCCCAGACTTAGGTTGCTCGAATAGACCTCGGGCAAACTGGAACGGGTCCCTAAAGAATTTCTCTCGCTCCCTTTTGGTTCTCCGTCTGTTATTACAAAATTAATCAAGTAATAGAAAGTATTGTGAACGGCACTCATAGAAAGAAGTAGAAGTACAAAAACGCTCTGCGCGACAGAGGGCACTGTGTCTGTTTCTCAGGTGCAACCAGACATCGTGTAGCCCCTCCCGTTCTTGTCTGCCAGCCACTTCTGAATATCCCTTCGTCTCCTGCTCGTATTCTGCTTGAAGCCCGGCGGGCGTCTTTTTGATTGTCCCGAACTCGTTGGAACAGTGCTCGTATATTACATTACCTAACCTTATAAGCTTATCACCTAACGACTTCTGTTTTTAAATCATCATTTAGTTTCTCACATAGTGTACCTTCCAACTTACACCACGACATCTTATCGCTCGCAGGTGGGAACCTGATCTTTGAACGCACTTCTTCAGGAATGATCAAAAGTTTGCCTCCGGAGTCAACGTCATGGGCCTCTCCGGGCGAGTGGGGTATACCATGCCCGTCGTTCCCTAACGACTCAGAAACTACCCCAGGAGTAGTGGTTTTGCGACGGCGTTTACTGTGTACAGCACCCTCGCATTCCATCCTTCTGGCATGAGTTCTCACACCATGCAACCCCGTGAAGCTCTTTCCACATGTACAGAGCCAACCCGGCAGCTGGGCGAAAATCTCAGTACGGGGCTAGAAAGGTCGTCACCCTTAGTATCTAATTGATTGGGTCCATAATTTCAATTTCCCTCTTTTGATGGACCCTGGGGGCACACATATCTAGCATCATTTGCGATGCGCCAGTGACGTAAAAAAAAAAAATACCAAATAAAAAAAAATATATAGCATATACCATGTTGAAACCTACAGTAAACAATGTGTTCCGTGTACAATTACATGTATAAGGCATAGACGACGGTGTGTTCAGGAGTATGGCTTGAGAACCCTGCTCAAGCCCATGTTACAAGTATGGGAGGTTAGGTGTGTATCCTTTACAGGACGTTGCAGAACCAACCCCAACAGTCCCTGGTTGTGTGGTTTTTCTAGGCAAAAGTTACGTCTAGTAGTTTGCCATTGCTTTCTGGGTGGTCGGCTTTTTTTATACCACTTTTGAAACCAGCCCAAGGCCCGCAGCTGGGATCGAACCTGGCATCCCGGCATTACGAAGCGTTCGCATCGACTTATCCACAGAGCCGACTACAAGTATAAAGTCTAAATAATAGCCACTAACTAACCTAGGTAGAAAACAAAGCCTTTAACGAGGTATAGCTGTAATAATGTAGTAACATCTTGAGTCAAACAATGAAGGATAAAATAGTTTGAAAATCATCATTCAAAGTGAGCTAGCAGATGTCCTTATCGGGAATTTCAAGCTTCCATCCCTCTATCTCAAAGTAGACATCATCAAAGACCAGTATAAACTTGCATTGTCATTGTCCCTGGACACCAGAAAGAAACTGTTTTGTTCAGCATTTGAAGTTATGCAAAAATATGGGTATAACCACCTAGGGGTGACTGAGTTTATGATAAATCATATCTTATCACACTCTAACTGTGTAAACGTTATGGCTATGTGAAGACATTCACATTGCCAATAGGATGTCCTGGAACATCTGATGCGAAAGCCAGCAACAGCTCTGTAATAAACAGAAGTTAAAATGTCCTCAACATGAGGGGTTCATGACATATCAAGTTAATATTTTGCTTTTATTTTGAAGTAGTTATACATCTTTTGATGGACGCTGCACAACTAACTCCTGTATTTACTTGACTGTTTATGGTTTCGATAGAACACATTAAGCGTTCGGTACTTTAACATATTAGGGCAATGTTAAGTTATTCCGTATTGAAAGGATTTGTTCTGTTTGTTCAATGTATGGTTCTAACTGCATTTTTTAAATGCACAGGCTTTTCCTGCATTATTTCTTGAGGTTGTTCTGCAATGTTTGTTGCCTATGTTTTACAATTTCTACATTGCAGATGAAGTTCTTGTGTTTCTTTGCTACTTTGATGACTGTAGCTATCGCATCAGCGCCGAGGGAATCAGCAGAGATCAACAAGCGACTTCTTGGTTTACTAAGTGGAAGCGATGAGGGTAGACTTGATGAGAGTGGCATCGCTGACCTGACTAAAAGTTTACAAGGGAAGACAACTGAACCGTAAGTATTGCATGTGTTCTCAAACGCTTAACGTAGATCGTGTGGTATCTGACGCTCATTTACTTATTAGCTATATCCTCTTTATGTCGCGTTTGATACATAATACTGTCTCAAGAGATTTATACTGCTTCTGGTCTGCTGCTTTTCTGTCTATGATGTTTCATGTCATTTCCCATTCCTCACTTTCCTTTTTATTGTCAGTCTCCAAGTTTTCTAAGGTCATCCATGACTTCCTTTTTCTCCATGTGCCCACCAGGAGAGCTTTCCTTGTCAACGTGTCAATAAGCTTTAAACAAATATGTTCAGACAATCGCCAGCTCCGAAACTACAGTTTCAACTAACAACCTTTTCGAGTGTCCTAACTGACACATCCAGTTCTTTCGCTAGTACACTTGTGTTTAGACAACGGCTCACCCGTATTGCTGCCTCGATTTATGCATATCCCCCCCCCCCCCACCCCCACCCCTACTGCTTTCTAAACGTTTTCGGAAAAGCCCAGCAATCTTCTCAACGATTAGATGAATAATCTATATATCACGAGACGAAAATCACGTGTATTTTTATTCTTTGGTCAGTGTTTATCTGCTGTCTGTAACATGATCGTGTTCAATGCAGGCTCTTTAACCATGGTGGCACACGAACATTATTTACGAGGCTAAGGCCATTTGATAGCACTATAACAATGCGTATGAGCAAACATATTATCAATGTTGCGAGAGCATAATTCAAGCAGTCATAAAAGAATCTACCGATACCTAACGCTCATAAACTGACGCATATGCAGTCTGTACTTAGTAATAATGATGTAGAGATTAACTTTCTAATGCTTTAGCGTCCGTTGTGATGTCACATCATAGCATGTCATCGCAAAGAGACGTTTCTCAGAACCAGATACCTGATTTACAATTACCACTCAAGGAGTTACCTTTGAATTACTGCTCTACTCAATTGGTACTGGTTGTCGGAAATTAACTACTTCTTTATCACTTAGTTTTAAAGTTTCTCTTTCTGAACATGTCATCATCTCCCTCGCTGTCTCTTTATCTCTCTTTTATAGACAACTTACA